TTTTATTTGATTTAAAATTAATTTTATATTAATTTTTGGTGTCAAATAAAATACACTTTGAACATTTAAGTGGAGAAGAATTTTGAAAATCCTTCTCATATCATTCATTCGGCCATGATGAGATTGTGAAGAATAAAATTTCATTGATTGATTACTTAGTGGAGTTAATTGATTTGTCATTTAGCTAATGACAAAGATTAATATTTGTTTTCTATATATGCACCTCACGCACCATTAAAACAAGTGGAGAAGAAAATCATCTAATTTGCTTTGAGTTTCGGCCATTACACTTTAGTGAGAGAAAATATTATTTTGGTTCCACATATATCATTTTGTGTATAGAAAATATCTATAATATTTTCTAAATATTATTGGAAATATTTTCTATAGAAATATACAAGATTATTATTATCCCAAATTTTAATCTTTATATTTTTATACTACTATAATCTTTACTAGCATAAAGATTGTGGTAGACTCCGGCGTTGTTCGTGTGTCAAAGTTGGAGACCGGACGCTTGAACGGTTACGTTTGCACTTTCAACGCTCTTCCTACGACTTCTTCGTTTTTACAGCTTACGGAGAAAGGTATAAATTTCTTACTCACTATATGTTTTAGTACGTGATTCTGGGCAAGATAATCATGTTAGGATGTTAAAATTTTATATTCCGCTGCCTATCCTTGCATGGTTACCTTTCAGAAGCCAATCTGACCGGTCAAACTTGGTCGGGGCGGATGACCACTGGATGCATGATCTGATGGAATATCTGATGCACGGGACCTTGCCGGAACAGGATGACCGGGCAAGAAAAGTAAAGCTCAGGGCACCCCGGTTTCAAGTCCTTGACGGAAAGCTATACAAGAGGGCGTTCGGGGGACCCCTCCTGAGGTGCCTAACCAACCGGGAGGCTGAGCGAGACATAGCAGAAGTCCACGAAGGTGTATGCGCGGCGCATCAAATGTCGCGAACCCTCTCACAGCGAATCATCTTGTTGGGGTATTACTGGCCAACAGTTGTCCAGGACTGTGAGAGGTATGTTCAAAAGTGCAGAACATGCCAAGTGTTCTACAAGTATCCCGGTAAGTCGGCGACTTACTATCACCCCATATTAAATGTCATCCCATTCGCTAGATTCGGGGTTGATATCATCGGAGCGTTCCCAATCGCCTAAGGAAGGAAGAAGTTCGTGATCGTAGCCATCGATTACTTCACCAAGTGGATCGAAGCCGAAGCGTTGGCCAACATTACCACGCAGCAATGCAAGAAGTTCATTTGGAAGAACATCATCACAAGGTTCGGGGCTCCCATGAACCTCATCACCGACAATGGTCCACAATTCCGAAACCCAAGATTCACCGAATACTTGGAGGGCTTCGGGATTAAACACAATCGTTCTTCGGTGGCATACCCCCAAGGAAATGGCCAGGTTGAAAATGCCAACCGAACAATTGTGGATGGTTTGAAGAAGCGGCTAGGAGAAGCAGGAAACAAGTGGCTCGAAGAACTTCCGCACATCGTATGGGCATTTCGAGTGACGCCCAGGAGGGCTCATGGGGAAACTCCCTTCTCCCTAACCTATGGGTGCGAAGCAAGGCTACCCATTGAAGCTGAATTCCCAACGTTTCGGGAGTCAAATTATCAGCCCCAGCAAAATGAAGAAGACCACTTGGCTGAGCTCAACTTGGTCGAGGAAAGAAGAATGGCTGCGGAGGTCAAAATGAGCACATACCAACAAGTTGTGAAGAAGTACCACGACAACAAGGTTGGACCGCGTTACTTCCAAGCCGATGATGAAGTCCTGCGGAGAAGGGAGGCTAGTAGACCGGGAGACGGAGGAAAGCTAGCCAAGAACTGGGAAGGACCTTACCGGGTGAAGGCTATTATTCGCCCGGGAACCTACCGGTTGGAGACCCTGGACGGTGTACCGGTGGAGCGAACCTGGAATTCCCACCATCTTCGCAAGTTCTACAAATGATTGTAATACTAGGCAAGGCCTACTTTATTATCAATCAAATCGATGACGTTCAATACTCTACATGGTAGCAGCAGAATCGATAGGTCGAACCTATCCTAGGAGGGCTTCCCGGATGGATCGGATCCACTTGGAAAAGCCAAGTGAGACACAGGCCCGGACCTGGCACGCTGGTTACTACACCGGTCTTGCTCAGTATAATAGAAAAAATATAAAACCCGGAAGAGGGGCCCGGAAGAGGGTATGCCTGCAAGAGGGCTGACCTGGAAGAGGGTTCGAACCATACTTACACGGGCCCATGAGGTTTGACCGATGTCGGGGAATCAGCCGGCACCGTCAAACTGATTGGGGACTAAAAGATGCCCATTAAAAGAAATAGAAGGGGATCGTCCACCGTGGCGCATCCTATTTCCCCCTTCTCAGGGAAGACTTGAACGGGGGGTGAGCTAAGGCCTTCCCGGGATGGTAGAAATCAAAGGGCCATTAAAAGACTTAATCACCCGGAAGAGTGGGCCCTGGAAGAAGGGTGCATTTGAACCTTGGAGAGGGTTCGAAACCATTCGAACATGGTTAAATCTCCAGTATTCTTACCGGTTAAGGATACTTCAAGAAATTACTAGGTTACAGGTGCTCCATCTACAACCTACCGGTCACAAAAAAAAAAAAAAAGAAATACCCCGGTTGGGTATTGATACAGCGGAACTTCGAAAGTTCCACAAGGCGAAGCACTTCACCGGTCAGACCGTGAAGAAGGGACCAACCGGTCAACCCGCACTTTACTTTCAAAATGAAAACGAAGGTATCCAAAACTCAAAACAAAGTTCAACCGGTCGGACATTTTCGAGATGACCATCAGGTGGGAGTTCAACCGGTCAGATTTACTCAAAGTTGATCTTCAACCTAAAGACATCTGAAAACAATAATTGGAGTTACACCGGTTAGGGTCCGTCAAGGGGCAAAACAAAAGAATCGAAGCCTAACCGGTCAAAGTTTTCGCGAAGGCATTTTAAGAAGCAAAAGCAAAGTATCGATCAAGGAGCAAACAGATATGGAAAAGTAACCGGTACGGAAAACAAACATGGCATTCAACAGAACAAGAAAGTTAATTGTTTACAAGCACACCGGGCATCCCCGGGGAAATTCTAGTTTTCAAGTTTACAAAATATGACCGGGCGCAGCCGGGGAGAATTTACTCCAGGGGGAAGGGGGGTTCAGGCTCTTCATCAGGAATGGGGGCCTGACCATATGCTTCAGCAGAGAAGGCCGGGTCGCGTTCCGTCAGGACTGCATGCGTGGCCTCCCGGTCTCTCTTCTGCCCGGACATGAAACCATACGAGCCGATTTGGGTGATCATCTCCTTCCCTTGTTCCTCCCGGTAGAGGAACTTGAAGGCCTCTATCGTCACCTCCGGAGTGGATGTAATCACCCGGGCAGTCTCCTCCAGGTTCTCCCCCACCCACTGCTTGGCTCTGCCGGGGAACTCTCGCTCCTTCAGCTCCAGGTCCTCCATCAACTTCAAGTTTTCCTCCTTCAGCCGGAGGGTCTCTGCCTTGGCCCCCTCGGCAATCGCAGAAAGGTTGGACACCTCTTCAAGCTGCCGGGCTATCAGATCCTGCAGCTCCCGGTTGTGGGCTTCAACTCCCTTCAGTTTCTCCTCAAGCTGAAGTGACCGGGAGGGGGAGTCCTCTGCGAGCTTCTCCAAAGTTTCCGGGCAGACCTGGCCCATCTGCGAAGTGGGAAGTAAACCGGTTAGAAAAGCAAAAAAGCAGGTCATTGAAGATAACATACCAGGAACATATTACCTCTTTCAGCTTGAGAGTCATCTTGACCCATAGCTCTTCCATCGATTCTTTGACCGGGGAATGTTCCCCTCTCCTTTTCTTGGCCGATGGATGGGTGGTGGCCGCGTGCTTCACCCTCTTTTTTCCTTTTCCCTTGTTTGGGGAGGGATTCGCCGGTGCCTTTCCGGTCTGGGGAACCCCCCCAGTCGGATTGGCTTCATCCTCGGAATGAACTTCGATTGTCTCCTCCTGGAACGGGGCAGTTTTGGGGGCCGAGGAAGAAGAACCACCGGTTGTCTTCGGCATGTTGAACGCTCTGAAATTCATATCTACGAAAACAGATAAAAAACTTGTGAGTACTCAAACTATGACCGGTGATATTGAACGAAAGAATGAAAGATACCTGGGTGGCTTGGGCCCCCGACCTCAGCAGTGTTGCCCGGGGAGGGTACCCCGTGCCCCGCTGCCTCATGGGCCCGAGAGGTACCCCTACCACCCGGTTGGATCCTCCAGATCCAGGCCCCATAGTGGAACATCTGCCCGGTGAAGGGATCCCCCTGAAGAAGTTTCTCCAAACTCGCCTCCAAGTCTGGAGCTGTGGCCGGCTCGGTGAATTGAGATTTCAGGATGTGATCATTCCACTTTATGCTGGCCAGGGGAGAAGTGGTGGGGAACTTTATAAAGACAAATTTTTCCTTCCACTGCCGGTTACTTTGTGGAAGGTCGGAAATGAATTGACGACCATTGCGTCCTTTGAAATAGACGTAACCGTCACAACCCGACTTACCGGGAAGGACTTCAAACAAATAAAGGAACAAGCGTAGGGAAGGATCGATCTAGAGCTCAACGCAGATGTTCACGAAGGCGTTGAGAAAACGGTGGGCATTGGGCGTGATCTGCCCGGGAAGGATCTTAAAACAATGACACAACTCGACAAGAAGGGGACGGAGGGGGAAGACTGTGCCACTCTCCAAAGAAATAATGTGAAACCCAACCCTATCATCCCGGTGAGGCTCAATGATGTTGGGCCAATTGGGGTCATACTCAAGGACATACCCCTGGGGGAGGTTCCTACGAGCCTTATGTTAGACGCCTCGCACACCTCTAGAGGGGGGGTGAATAGAGGTGTTGCCCAAAAGACCAGTTCTTTGCGCGGAAACGTTCTTCACGAATATTCAATAAAATCAATGCACCACAAACAAAGTAAAGTGAAGGATAAGAGCAATGCACACACGATATATACTGGTTCGGCCTAAATGCCTACATCCAGTCCCCGAAGCAATCGTGCCCAGGCCTTCACTAACCCGTCAAACTTAACGGAGTTTGACAATCCGAATACAACTCGAGAACTTGATTTCACAAGCCTCTTATCTTACCACCGAAGTTTTGATTTCACAAAACTCAGGATTTCTTCCACCTAACGTTTGATTTCACAAACCGTTAGGATTTCTACCACTTGGTGTAATCCCAACACCAAGAATACAAATCCCTTACAATAAAGTAAGAAAACAAACCGCAAC